AGATGCATGGAGGCCGCCATAAACCTGCCTGGCCGATGTGGCAAATTCTGTGTTTAATAGTGAAGTGGGGGGCAGCCTGTGCCCCCTTCCCCTTGCCAGGGAAAGAGACACACAGAGCACCTGAGACCACCGTCTCCTTCGGGCAAGGATTTATTCCAGAATCCCCCCCTCCCTCTTGAAGGCGCCTGGAGGCTTTCTGCGCCTGGTCTCCTCCGGAACCGGCCTCTCTCTCCGTTCAGCACAAAGCAGGCCGAGCTTCCGTCCACGGAGCCCTCAGGGAGTTCCTGGAAAAGGGAAGGAGGCCTCAGGAAGGGTCTTCCTTGGGGGGCTGCAGGGGGGGACAGAGGCATTGGAGAGACCCCCCTTCTTGCCAGGCCGAGAACCAGAGAGACCCCCCATCCCCCGCTCTGAGGGGCTGCTCTGCTCCAGCCTCGGCCTTCGTGACACTCCGGCCAGCCTAGGCGCCTCCCTTGGGGTGTCCCCCAGGCCCCCCTCCCTGGGGGAAGTGGACCCTCTCTCCTGGGGCAGGCTGAAGGGCCAGTGGGGGATGGAGCAGAGGATGGTCAGCCTTCCCAAGAGATCCTGGGTCCTCTTTCTCCCCTTGGCCAGACGGACGGATCCCGCAGCAGAATCTCGGGGAGGAGGGGCAAAGAGAGGGGCCCCTTCTGCAGGGCTGCCAGAGGGAGGGGACCTCTCATTTACCCCTTCCTCTCCCATGCATTCAAGGTGGGAATTCTGCTCCTTCCCGCATGGCCTCCCACCTTTCAGGGCCCCCTCCTCCAGCAATGCACACCCACCTCTCTTGTGGCACTTCCGCTGGCAATCTGCACGTGTTTTGAAGTTGTTGGCGTTTGCCTTGCAGCCCGTAAAAGTGAACGTCCTGCAACTTTGCGTCTTCGGGTCGTAAAACCAGCGTTGAATTTTGTCCTTGCAAGACCCGTGTTCAGGAGGCAGGTGGCAGGAGGGGATGGAGGTTGGCAACGGGTGGACAGCTATATGGACGTCTGCAGGAGGGAGGGAGGGAGGGAGGGAGGGAGGGGGATAGAGGAGGGCTATACCATTAGCTATATGGATGTTTCAAAAAGGAGGATGGAAGGAAGGACGTCTCCCACCTTCCCCCAAGCCCTCCCCCTTCCCTCCCTTCATTGGATTTGGGCATTTTTTACTTTCTTTCAGTCAGCCCCCCCCTCAGAATTGGTGGGGGGCAGGCAGCAGCTCCTGCTGTGCAGAGCATGGATGGAGCAGAATTGGGGAGGAACCTCTTTAGGGTGAGGATTAGAGGGGTACAAACACAGCAAATCTCTCGTTTTGGCTCTTCATTCCGGACTCTTCGCCCCCCACCAAAGCGTTACCTGCCTGCCTATCTCAGGGACCCCCCCCTTCAGCCCCCCCTTCTTGAAAGGAAGCCTCTGAGTTTGCGCTGCTTGCCAGGCGGGCCCTGGGTTCAGGCCAATGGCCGGTGAAGCCCCCTGCAACCCCCATGCCTTGAGTCCCAGTCTCTACAGACTGCCGCGTGGGTGAAGAAGGGCCACTCATGCAGCCCCATCAGAGACAGGGGGGTGCAGGAAAGAGGGGAGCCTCCCCCCACCCCAAACTGGCCTCTGAGATGCACCAAAGGGGAACCAAGCGGGGGGGGGGCTGTGTCGTGCAGGGGCAGAACCCCCCAAAGGAGCTTAGAAGAAGAAGGACGCAGCTGGGTTGGGCCTTTTCCCACCGGGGCTCAGGAGACCCCCTCCTCCTGAAGACCCCTTCCATCCCTCAGCCTGCCCCCCATAGCCCCCCAAGGCCCCTGCCCCTTCATCACAGGCCCTCAGGCTCTCCTCCCCCCTGCGCAACAGCCGGGCTCACCCGTCTTTTTGCAAGCTTCCTCGCATTCCTTAGCGGAGTGGTAGCTGTTCAGGCTCCCGGAGCATCCATAGTCGATGAAGAACTGGCAGCTCTTGGAGGTCACGTTGTAGAAGAAACGTTCTTTGGGGGGGCCACACTGTTTCAAAGAGGTGGGCAAGGTTCTGCATTGCGAGTCGTCTACAAGAGAGCAGATTCGGGAAACTCAAAACTTTGTTCCTCTGTTGTAAGTGCTGGGGGGGGGGGACGTGGGCAGAAAAAGCAGCCCCCTAATTGAGGCTGGGGAATTGTGGGAGCTGAACTCCACAGGTCTTAAGGTTGCCCAGGTTGGAGACCCCCCCTCCCTTTGCCTTTGTTCCACGGTTATATTTTAACTAAAACTCAGTGAGCCTGAAGGCCTGGGAAACCTTGCAGCCAAAATGCTGGTCCTGCACCCCATAGAATCCATGGGGTGGAAGGGACCTCGGAGCTCTTCTAGTCCAACCCCCTGCTCTGGCAGGAGACCAGTGGTGGGATTCAACATTTTTTTTACTACTGGTTCTGTAGGCAGGGCTTGATGAGCGTGTGTTGAGGTAATTCCCCATTAGGAGAATGAGCGCATACAGGGAGACGTAGTGAGAGTAGGGAAGAATAACACACACACAGCACACAGATACACTGTACAGTAAATGTAGGTTTTTACTTTTAATAAACGTTTAAGCAAATTCCAAGAAGCAGTCCAAGTCATTCACAGGTAAGGCAGTCAGTGTTCAGTTCAGGGATAATCCAAATATCAAAGTCCAGTATCAAAAAACAGTTCAGTAACAGACTTACATCAACGATCAGTAACAGTCATTAGGAAGAAACGGCAACACTCTCCAACAGAAGGAAACAGAGACTCCCTCACTTCACTGAGACTCTATTCTGAGACTAAACCACCCAGGTTTCTGGCTCCATCTTATGGCCATTTGTGGAACCACACCCAATTACAGATTTAGGATTCTCTTAAAGGCATAGTATTAAAATGTCTATCCTAGTTTATATATTTCCAACCCAACTAACTGTTAGGTGACTTATATTCCTAACAGCGTGGCTTGGTGGGCATGACAGGGGAAGGATCCTTCCCTCCCCACCCCACTGACCTGCTTTCCAGCTCCGTTCTCCTGTGCAGGGCAACCAAAGAAGATCCAGCCGATCACCTGGGACTCGATGGGAGGCAGAGAAGAGATGGGGTTGGCGGGCCCAGTCAGAGGTGGGATTGGCAGGTTCTCCAAACCAGGGGTCTTCAAACTTGACAGCTTTAAGACTTGTGGACTTCAACTCCCAGAATTGCTCCTCCAGTCATGTTAACTCAGGAATTCTGGGAGCTGAAGTCCACAAGTCTTAAACTTGTCAAGTTTGAAGACCCTTGCTCCAAACTACTCAAAATTTCCACTCCTGGTTCTCCAGAACTGGCCAGAACCGGCTGAATCCCACCTCTGCAGGAGACCTTAGATCATTTGATCTAAGGTCTCCTGCAGAGGTGGGATTCAGTGGTCCAGTCTCTTCTTCAAAACCCCCAGTGTTGGAGCATCTACAGTTTCTGGAGTCTAGCTGTCTGACTGATGAATTGTTTTCACTGTCAGGAAATTTCCCCTTCGGTCTATATTGCTTCTCTCCTTGATTCGTTTCCATCCATTGCTTCTTGTCCAGCCTTCAGGGGCTTTGGGAGATAAGTCACACCCCCCCCCCCCCCGTTTTGTGGCAGCCCCTCAATTGTCTTCCAGTACAAAAACTCTCCTGTCCCCCCGGATCCTTTGATGGCTGCACCTCCCCCAGCTCCCTCCAGGTCCATCCGACACTTTAGTCTCCAGGTCTTTTACTTCTTGGGGCTGAGAAGGGCTGTGGGGGGGGGAATATCCCCCTTCGCTTCCGTTCTCCTGGCAGGAAAAG